CGAAGTCTAAATATATAGTGAGTGCTGGATATATTAACTGTGGGAAGTCTAAATATATAGTGAGTGCTGGATATATTAACTGTACGAAGTCTAAATATATAGTGAGTGCTGGATATATTAACTGTGGGAAGTCTAAATATATAGTGAGTGCTGGATATATTAACTGTGGGAAGTCTAAATATATAGTGAGTGCTGGATATATTAACTGTACGAAGTCTAAATATATAGTGAGTGCTGGATATATTAACTGTGGGAAGTCTAAATATATAGTGAGTGCTGGATATATTAACTGTGGGAAGTCTAAATATATAGTGAGTGCTGGATATTAACTGTGGAAGTCTAAATATATAGTGAGTGCTGGATATATTAACTGTGGGAAGTCTAAATATATAGTAGTACTGGATATATTAACTGTGGGAAGTCTAAATATATAGTGAGTGCTGGATATATTAACTGTGAGGAAGTCTAAATATATAGAAGTGATGGATATAATTAACTGCTAGCCCAAAGCTTAACAATTATATAGTCTGACTCTGCTAGAAAATATTAACATGTAGGAAGTTAAGATATAAAAGAAAGGCTCTATTAACTACAACGTTCATTAGCCAACTGCTGTTAAAGATAAAAGTAAATTACGCTCCTACTTCGCAAAATAATGGCATAAGTTTAGAGTGTATATAATTCAAGGATGAAAAGTGCACAATGGCTCTCTCCTACGTCACGTCTATTGGCCACACTGGCGTACTCAAAGTGGGGAGATATAAATCTTCTGATACCATATTCAATTAAAGGCCAACAAAATTTTAAAAATGAGATTGTCTGTTTTAAAGGAAAGGTTAGAAGAACCATTTGGTGGAAACCGTTACGCTCACGTGTCTTCATGCAGATCCAATACAATGACATCAGTATGATCAGCAGTCCAGTATGACTAGCCTTCAACTGGACTAAACTCCAGTGAGACTAGACACTCATATCAAACTCTTCTAGATCTTAACATTCGTCATGACTACGGACACTTCAAAATTTTAAGGATCTGAATGAGATCTCGTGTCTGTTTCTGAAGAAGGAAAAGGTTGAAGCAATTATTTCTTCATAAGGTTTTTCTGAGGGATGAGACGACCTGCTTAACTCTTCTGTGTTCTCGTCTGTATGACTAAGACACTCCAGTATGACTAAGACACTCCAGTATGACTAAGACACTCCAGTATGACTAAGACACTTCAGTATGACTAAGACACTCCAGTATGACTAAGACACTCCAGTATGACTAAGACACTTCAGTATGACTAA